ATATATACACACACACACACACACACACATACATACACACATACATACCAGTATAAATTCATAAAACGTAAAGTCTAGATTGAAAAAAATTAGACCTGTGCATCAAATATGTTGTAAAAATAGGTTGCGTGAAGGCATGAAGATAACATGTTTGCTATTAGTCTTATATTTTGCTCCAAGACATTTAATAAGACTTTATTAGACTCCTATTTCCTTTGAAGCTCAGTTCAGTTATTATATTAAAGCCTAGTTAAACATGGATGTGGTTAATATTTTAAGTCTAAGTAATCCATCTCTTATTCAATTAAAATACTTGTGATGCTGCAGACATTGTAATCTAATGCACAGTGCTATAATGAACTTTGCAAATGTGAAATCGAACTCCACAATGTGAAGGAAAGACATGAAGTTCTTTTATTTTTCTGTAAGGAAGACACACTTAAAAAAATCTATATTGATATTGAATTTCTTGTGGTAAAATTTAAATGATAGGCAGTGTAGCTAGTAGCTAAGAACAATAAAACGTAAGTGGTAGGGCATAGAACAGAGTGATTAAAAACACTAACTCTGGTGCTAGACACAAAGTTGACAGGTTAGCTATAAGATACACAGAAAATGAATTAGCCTTGCTGCATTTTAGTTACCTTATCTATAATTTGTAAGGAATAATTTTAAAGAATAATTATAGTGTATAGCTTTTGACTATAAACTCTGCCATGCAATAAACATGAAGTGAGTCTGGATTATTTGTGTTTTTAACATATAGCATAATATTTGAGAACATTTTTTGTCTTTTAATTTTTAGGTCTCTTGCAGCAGAATGGGGTAAATATGGAATGAGGTTCAATGTAATTCAACCGGGGCCTATAAAAACCAAAGTAAGTTTTAGTTGGTTTATTTTAAGGTCGTGAATTATTAAATGAGATGGTGACAGATGTGTTCTGATTGTGTGTGATGGGCTTTCCAGGGATGTCTGGGATTGAAGTTCACTTTTCCCATTGTCCAGGGTAAGAAATAATGACTTAGCCAGGGCTGTAGTGCTGTGTAACTTTGGATAAGACCTATTTCAATGGCTTAATCTTTTAGGACCTTTTATGTCATCAATTTTGGCAATTTTTCCGACTTGCCTCTGTTACTGTAAATCTGTTATTGTCCCATATTTCTTAATTTTCACCATATTTTCCAATTCTTCATACTTTGACTGACATACCTTTTTCTCAAATCATGGAACTCTTAACTATATTTTTAGTTTAAGAATTGTTCTTAGAAATTTGTCATGAGGTGTGGCCTTGCTATTGGTAGCATTTTCTTTGACTCATGCCTGTTCCTTTTCATGTTCAATTATGCATGTCATCTAACTCCTACATCTGTCTGATTAAACATCCTTCTGAAGGCATGCATTTCACCTATCCTTAATAATCTTGCAAATACTCACTGCAACTCATAATTATCACTAATGTTGTTACAGGTGTTGCAGAGTGTCCACAGGTTCTGTCTTCTCTCCTGTGAGCCCCAAATGACTCCTCTCTCATACTTGCTTTGTTTTCAAGTTAAACAAGGTTTTTTAATTTCACCTGAGCAATAGCTTTGAAAATATAATCAAAATGCATAAACACCAAGATCTATCATGTAAAGGTACAAGATCCCGATGATAAATGTAACTATACTGTATGCTTAAAAAGAACCAACAAACTCAATGAAAAAAATGCATAAGCACAGTAGAGAATAACATTACAGAACATTTTGGTGGTGGGTGGCAGTGGGCTATCAAATATCAATATGGAAATCACCATATTGGTTTTATTTAGCAGTTTAATGGGTGGAAAATGGAAAGACAAATCACCTGAGTGAAACTTGATTGAAGATCATATTTTTCCAACATTTAAATAATAAAAAGTCTTAATACATTAGTGAAAGAATACTTCAAAAGAATATATTAAAGTGCATGGCTCCCGGTTGCCCAGTGCTAAGCATAAATGAGGAAAAAACTCTGTATTCCCAGAAGCATCTTTTCTGGACCTCAATATCTAAGAAGAGTCACCCACATTTTATGTATTTATTGAGCACCCACAGTGTGCAGCAGTACTGAGAAAGATACAGAAACATTTGTGACAAAGTGCTTTCCATCAAGGAACTTGTAGTCTAGTAACAGAGATAAGATTTGTACACAAATAATAGCTATGTAGCCTTAATGAGATTAAAATGACCCATTTGAGTGAATGTGAAAGAATTTCATAAAATTCTGTTACAGGGCTAAACAGGGTAGTATATAGTAGCATTCTATTTTATGTAGATTTGTTTCTGAAGAAGGAAAAGGATTGTATTTAAACACGCACACACACACACACACATACAGCCTAATAATTTTCTTAATTTCTAAGGGTGCCTTCAGCCGCCTGGACCCAACTGGAGCATTTGAGAAAGATATGATTGACAGAATTCCTTGTGGTAGACTGGGAACTGTGGAAGAGCTTGCAAATCTTGCTGTTTTCCTTTGTAGTGATTATGCTTCCTGGATTAGTGGTGCAGTAAGCATTGTTTTATCTCTTAGCTTTTTTGGAAGGATGTGTGGGGAGACCTATCTTGGAACCAATCCTGGCAAGGATAAATGTAAACATAATTTAGAGTATTTAGTTAGCTGTAAATAATATAGAAATATTTTATACATATATTTTCCACTTGTAAAGTTTATTTTTTTGTTGTTTTTTTGTTTTTTTTGGGGGGTACTGGGGATTGAACTCAGGTCCTTGTCCTTGCAAGGCAGGCCACCGAACCTCTGAGCTAAATCCCCAGCCCTTGTAAAGTTTGTTTCTTGATAAATTAATTTTTTAAAATGTACGTTAGCCTGGTAGTCATGGCTTTAAAATGATCTTTAAGATTGAGTAGAATTTTGAAATTGTGGAGATGTTGGAAAGAGGATGCTAAATAGGCTAAATCACTGTAGGTTTAATCATAATTATTATCCTTTAACACTTGGGCTTTGATTGAAAGTGCCAGGGATACATTTCATCCAGTTAGAATGTGAAAATGGATAATCGTTCAGAAACTTTTAAATGAAGTTAATTTCAGAGTTTTTAATATTTTGTTTCAGGTCATTAGATTTGACGGTGGAGAAGAAGCATTTATTTCAGGTGAATTCAACAGCCTAAGTAAGGTAATGCCTTTTTGTGTATCTAATATAATATTATCAGCTAAGATGCTGAGCTTTAAAGCTATAGGAGAACCTCATTAAATTGATGTTTTATTCTTCTATCAGGTTACCAAGGAAGAGTGGGACACAATAGAAGGACTCATCAGAAAGACGAAAGGTTCCTGAGGTCACTCTGGCCTTCATCCAAGACGTAGTCCTAATGAGGGCCTAGAAATGATGCAAACTGACTATAATCTTTTGAGTATTTTCAATTCTAGTAAAATTTTAAAAAACAAACATTTGCTGACTGCGTGCTCTGCCAGGCCACTGGTAGCCTTTTGTGTATTTAGATGTAAATAAGGGAGGATCACCTCTTAAAAAAATTTTTGTAAGTGCAGAGAGTGGGTAGAGTCTTTGCTCTGATAGAGGTAAAAAGTGCTTTAAAGTACAGAGGGAGGAACAGGTTATTTATAATTTGGAAAATCAAGAGAAACCTAAAAGGGCAAGGTAGCATTTCAGTTATGTATTACACCCTGGGTATTATATGGTGTAAAAAGAATGAAATTAAAAGATCTACCATAAATTTAATGGACCCTACCTTTCCAGTATATTTCTTTTCATTTATACTTGTGAATTATCCTCTCTAGATAGCTTTACAATAACTCAAACCTTACATTTTTATGAAAACCTACTTTGTAGCCCATAGTTCTTCTTTGTAGCTCTTCTCTCTGAAACTTCAATATCTAGAGGGATAGAAAGACCTGTAAATAATCACATATGATACATTGTGATAAACATTATTCCAGCAGTATTAAGGTATGGAGGATGAAGTAGTAGTTCATTTTGTCTCCTAGTTTAGAAAAAATTGCACCTATGACATAGCCTTCCATCTCAGCTCTAAAAGAAGAGACTTCTCTGCACAGAGAAGATGAACAAAGCTCACAGAATATTTTGTGTATAATTTAATTAAATTTCATGCTTGTATTGGCTTGTTTGTAATCCTGAGAATCAGACAATAAATGTCCAAAGCCTTAAGTCTAAAAACTTACCATTTTAAGCCTATTATTTTTAAAGTCCATTTTGAATTAATAGGAATCACTCATCATGTATTTGCTAGACTGATTATCTCCACTGAGCAATTTGCCGAGAGAAGGGACCAGCTTCCCTTTGTCCTCATTTGAAAAGATCTACAGAGGAATTCAACTTTCCTATTTAAATGATATGCTGTATGCCCTCATGGGAACTCTTTATACACTGACAGTTAATTATGTGCCTAAATCATTTCTATTATGGATAATGTACAAACATGGAAATGTTTTAGGTTTAGAATAAGGAGACTTGCTGTTCCCTGTTTACTGGTCTTGCACACTTTTTTTGGCAGAGCTTTTAGTGCAGATACACAGTCTCCATTCACCTCTAACATAAATCTTTATTTTTCATTTCACTCATTCACATCTTTCTTCTTTTATAATTGTCAGTATTTTTGTAATGTTAAAAAAAAAAGTACCAATAGTTATATGATCTTGTAGCCTTCATTACTTCTTATTTTCTTTGTAAAATGCAAGAGTGTACTATCTGTAACTCTCTGCTTCAGGGTATTGCTGTGAAGATTAAAGCACACAAATGAAAGAAGGAGTTTCTTGCTTTTTTATCTTTTCATTTTTAAAGATATGACTATCATAAAGAAAGTAAGAATATGAAGAAAAACTAATCCCTAGAAGAAAACTTTTGTTACTACATTTAACACTGTGGAATATTTATTTTCTGTCTTTGCTTTTTAATTTATTTATGCAACTAGTCTGTGTGTATATATTTTATAGTGTCTATTGCAGTCCCCGCTCCATAGCTAACATTCTCTAGCAATTGTTTTTTGTTTTGTTTTGTTTTTTTTTTTGGTACTGGGGTTCGAACTCTATAGCAATTGTTTTGAACTCTCAATTTTTTCTTTTTTGTGGAGTACACTTCCGTTTTTTTAAAACAATGCACTTACCTTTCTATGTCTTGAAATTTTCCAATTTAGAAAGTTTGTTGACTTCCTTCCAAGAATAATGGTTTAGCACTCTTATCCCATTTCCATACTCACTAGCCAGTTCCTGCCTTTCCTACCTACTCATATATAGATGCAAATAAATTCTTCCCCTCCACTGATTCTACAACTATATCTATATCTCTATTTTTGATTATTATATTTACATTTTTATAGTTTTAAAAATATTGTACCAATGTTTTCTCAAACAGCTTTTCTTTTAAAAGTTCAAATTATATATAATGAATCAGATCCTTTTTTGTAAATATACCTAGTAATCTATGATTTATATGTAGCATAATTTAATTATTCTTCAAATTAGTTAATTACAATAACTTATTTTTCTTCAAGATGCTTGCTGATACCTCTTTTGCCAGAACAGTTTAAAAGTTATTAATATTATTTTTGATTGGCAAGTCATATTTGGGTTCAGTTATAGGGGTACAATCTGATGATTTGATAACTACTATGGAGTGATTAAATCAAGCTAATTAACATATCCATCAGCTAGCTGACTTACATTGTTTTTATTTGTGAAATATCTGAAATTTACTCTTAGTTATTTTGATTATATAATACTTCATTATTGACTGTAGTCACCCTGCTGTGCAATAGTTCTGAAAGCCTTTGGCCCTGTCTGAAATTCTGATCAACTCCCCATCTTTCTGCACCCTTCTCTCCTAGAAACCATTGTTCTACTCTCTACTTTTGTGTTCAACTTTCTTAGCTCCTATATATGTGAGATCATAAGTTATTTTTAGTTTTCAGTATTATAAATAAAACTATGTGAGCATCTTTGTACGTAGAACATTTTCCTCATGACATTTCTAGTAGTATTATTAATCAAAAGTTAAGAAGCTTTTGCATTCCCTTGATATACACTTCGAATTTTTTATTTGAAAAATTGAGCAGTGCAATTTCAACAAATACCTGCCAAGAATGAAGACTATTTGGCAGTTTTATAAGGAACAAATGATAGATCCTTTAAAAATATTTGTAATTACTAGTGAGTTTGTACACAGGATCTTAGCCAAAAGGCTGAGAAGCGATCCTAGTGAGTTTGTATAATCTCTACACTTGAGAATTTCTGATATGTATGAGCTTGTATGCAGTTTTTTCTTCTAATGGTCATCTGTTAAGAGTTTGTCTCATTATTATATATTATTATAAGAGGTAGATGAGGGAACAAAGCTTGTAAGCACAGCAGAAAACATAAAAAAGAGGATTTCCCCTACTAAAATTTTTTTTTGAGTCTGAAAGAGAAGCAAACATTATTGATGTGTAATCACTACCCAAAATGACAGACCACTCTCAGGGTATAAGCACAGCAGTGTTTTGTCCTAAAAATTATTACTGTCACTCTACTTAGTACTCTTTTGAGAGTCTTGCTTTTATTGCACTGATGGAAGAGTTAATAGTCAATTAAAGTGAGGTTTACTGCTAACTGTGTCTCTCATCTCAAAATTAACATGTGATAGCCTCCAGGAAATATTTCAAGCATTGAATGACAGTCATTGTTTGCCTTTTGTTTATGTGGAAACTAAAGCAGCAAGAATGAAAGTGACTTTGAATAATAGAACTTTAGAACTGGAAAACCTTAGCAGATACTCAATTCCTTCATTTTGCAGTTGAGGGAATTGCTTATGGCTCAGGAAATTGTGACTTTTCCTAGGTCACATAATTAGTCACGCAGCTGATGCCTCTGGAGTCTAATTTAAGACAATAACAACATATAGTTAGTAGTATTATTAATCAAAAGTTAAGAAGTTTTTGCATTCCCTTGATATACACTTCGAATTTTTTATTTGAAAAATTGAGCAGTGCAATTTCAACAAATACCTGCCAAGAATGAAGACTATTTGGCAGTTTTATAAGGAACAAATGATAGATCCTTTAAAAATATTTGTAATTACTAGTGAGTTTGTACACAGGATCTTAGCCAAAAGGCTGAGAAGCGATCCTAGTGAGTTTGTATAATCTCTACACTTGAGAATTTCTGATATGTATGAGCTTGTATGCAGTTTTTTCTTCTAATGGTCATCTGTTAAGAGTTTGTCTCATTATTATATATTATTATAAGAGGTAGATGAGGGAACAAAGCTTGTAAGCACAGCAGAAAACATAAAAAAGAGGATTTCCCCTACTAAAATTTTTTTTTGAGTCTGAAAGAGAAGCAAACATTATTGATGTGTAATCACTACCCAAAATGACAGACCACTCTCAGGGTATAAGCACAGCAGTGTTTTGTCCTAAAAATTATTACTGTCACTCTACTTAGTACTCTTTTGAGAGTCTTGCTTTTATTGCACTGATGGAAGAGTTAATAGTCAATTAAAGTGAGGTTTACTGCTAACTGTGTCTCTCATCTCAAAATTAACATGTGATAGCCTCCAGGAAATATTTCAAGCATTGAATGACAGTCATTGTTTGCCTTTTGTTTATGTGGAAACTAAAGCAGCAAGAATGAAAGTGACTTTGAATAATAGAACTTTAGAACTGGAAAACCTTAGCAGATACTCAATTCCTTCATTTTGCAGTTGAGGGAATTGCTTATGGCTCAGGAAATTGTGACTTTTCCTAGGTCACATAATTAGTCACGCAGCTGATGCCTCTGGAGTCTAATTTAAGACAATAACAACATATAGTCAAAGGTGTAGGGAAGGTGGGATGGGTAGGGGAAGAGTAAAAAGGGAAAAGAAAAAAATGTGAGAGAATGAAAAGATGAAAATAAAGTGTTTGTAGATGGGGAGGGGAGGAGGGGGTGAAGGGAGGGCAGAGGTAAGGGGAAAAAAATGAGAATCAAGACTTGTCATATAGAGGTACAAGATCCCAACAATGAGTGTAACTGTACTGTATCCCTAAAATGTACCAATAAACTCAATTAAAGCTGAAAAAAAATCATTATTTTTTAACTTTTGGATTTAAAACTGGACAAATCATGAATTATCACAAAACAAATATACACATGTAATCTGTCTAAGTCAAGAAAGAGAACATCACTAGGAATCAAGAAGCCTCCCTCCTGTTCCCCAAGACTACCTCCCTCTTTCTCAGACTAACCACTATCTTGACCTCTAACACCACAGTTAAGCTGCTTTTGGAAATTTATATAAATAGTATAACTTAAAATGTACTCTTTAGTTTATGGCTTTTTTTCTTTGTAGCAATTGCTTATGTGTTCTCATTGTTCTGTAATATTCTTTTGACAATAAGGTATATAAGAAATGTAGTTGCTACGTCTGCTGTTGATGGACATTGGAGTTGTTCCTAGTTCAAGGCTCTGCCAAGTCTGGTGCTGCTGCGAACATACCTATTCTCTGGGTGAAAATATGTATTCCCTTCTCCATGAGGCTGACAATGTTTGAAGTGAAAACTGCTGAGTTATAAGGTTCAAATTTAGCGACTGCTGCCAGATGTTTCTCCAAGCGTTTATAATTTAACATGCCATGAAGCACTGTGTAAGAATTCCTACTGTGCCACATCTTCACAGCACTCAGACCTTATTTTTTACCTTTCTGATGAACATACAGTGGGATCTCTTCTTTTTTTAAAAAAAATGTTCATTTCTCCTGATTAGTGATAAATCAGTTGCTTTTTTGCTCATTAGACATGTAGGTATCTTAAAATGCCCACTTCTTTCTAATACATTTCTCAGTTGAGTTATTTTTTAATTGATTTGTAAGAATATATATATTTTGGCTATGTGCCTTTGTCAGTTATATTGCTGGAAATATCTTCCTCCCACTTTTCTTTCTTAGTGTCTTTTCATAAACAGAAGTTCTTACTTTTAACAAGCAAAATTTTTCATCGGTTTTTTTAATCGGTTAAGTATTCCCATGCCTGTAGTATTAAAGAATCTCTTCAGTGTTGTCTTCTAAATACCTTCTGCATTTAGATTGGAACTAAACTTGGAATGCATTTTGTTTGTGATATGAGGTAGCCATTGCACTGACAATCTTGCATTTACCCTTTTTGATTCTATTTTTTTCATTCTTCACCGTTTTCTGCCTCAAGAAGCAGACTTGTTCAAATCCATCATGATAACACCAGTACTAAATTCATGTATATTATTACTATCAACTCTCTAAAAAGTCTCCTCAGAATTACTACCATCATGATTTTCTGTCTTTATTATTTCATTTTTTCCATGCCATCATGGTCAGAATCCCTGACATAGCTTTTATGTATATTTTCTAGTGAACAACTATTTTTCTACAGACAAAATGTAGGAAAATCCTGTATGTTTCATTGGAGAATTTGCATGAGAAATTATTTGTGTCCGTTGGGAAAAAAAAATCTCCCAATATTAGGATTTAAAAAAAATTTCTTTGTTAATCTTAATGTCAGAGATACTCCTTAATTCAGTGAGTCATCCAGTAATTCACTGAGCTGTGTATATTTATTCCTTATGCTACAATAATTTTGGCATCCTACATTTCCACTTGGATTAATTATGTATTGCATGTTAACATTTTGGAGAAGAAACAGTAGAAAACGTAAAGGATATTTTCTTCTTTATTTATTCTTTTAGTTAAATTCAATGTAATATCAGTGCTTCCATTTATACACTGCAAGCAAAGCGAATCTACCGCTCACATCAATTGATAAACTTTATTTTTTGGTAGATCTTTTTTCTGTTTATTCTTAAGGGAAAGAGCTCATATTTTTTGTTAGTTTTATGAATTGAAAAATAAATGTTGACTTGGAACATTCAAGCTGACCCAGAAACATCATTAACTCTTAAATGGTAACTTTATAAATTCCACACAGACATTTCTGTAATTACTTTTTGCTCCATAGAGAATATAAAAGCACCATCTATTACATGTCAACTATCACCAGGATAGGATATTCTAGCTACAATACGTGAAACTGACTTAGATGTGTGCCAAAGAAGGTTTTAGAATCTCCTTTGCTAGATAAGATAAATTATTACAGTAGCATTTCTCTTCAGATGCTATTTTTAACTGATTTGAAACTATTTGCAGATAGAAATAGAACTATTTTGAATGCTGATCTCAGTATGAAATATAGAATCCACAGAATACACAAAAGTATTGATGATATAACATTCAGTAATCAGGATGCTATGAATTTTACATTAAAATTCAATTATGTAGTAAAAAATAGAGTTGTTATAGCTAGAAAAAAATATTTTCAGAGGCAGCAGATACCCTTGGTGAAATGAACAGTTCTATGTAGAAAGAAAAATCCAGGAAGTATACAAACTAGACACCAAGATACTTAGCATATTAAATTTAATCAGAGCTTACACACAATATGACATAAAACAGCAGTTACCAGAATAATTATAATCTGAAACACATGAAAATAGAAAATGGATTAAAGTCATACTCTGACAGTAGACTTGTTAGAAACAGACTTAAAATCAGATCTGTGCCACCTGGTGCTACCTTCCCTTGTCACATCAACTTGAGTCATAGTTTGGGATAGATTCAAGCCGTAGACATGTTGATTAATAATAAATCTCTAGTGAAACTTAACTTCATAAAGCCATGACTTAACTGTTTATTGGTATTTTGGTGACTATTTTAGATTAGAAATGCACATTTCTCCTAGTATTTGGAAATATAGAAGTACTTTGTGGGACAGTCCTATGATTGTCTTGGTTGGCTTTGTCATATAGTTCTCAAATTCAGTGATAAATGTGCATTTTTACATTAGAGATTAGAATTTTAGAGATTAATCCTGGGGAAAAATTTCAGGGGAATCTTCATGGACAACTGTATTTATAAAAGTAAGAATATGTCAGGTTATTTTTAATTGGGTATACTGACTGGCTTAAATAATGACTTTCTCCTTTTCAATCATATAGTTACAAAAACTGTACATTACAAACAGTATAGAAACAAGCAGAAAAGAATGTGCCACACATCCTGGATAATTACCTATATGCAGTAAAATTTACAGATATAAAAGAAAATACAGCCTACTCCTTTATAGTGCACAGTTATTTTTTTTTAGATACAATGTATCACTAGCAAGTAGTTGTGACTCCAACTCTAGTTGTCCCCAGCAGAGAGAATAAGAGCCAGATCTGTTCGGTACAGCTTCCCTCCATCTGACAAAGCCATTATGCTTTTCTTGTATGTTGGAATATTATTAATGTCCAGATCCTGTATAGAACATAGATGGCAATGTAATGCAGTTAAATATGGAAGCTAATTAACCATTATTAATTAATAAAATGTGAGCTGAAACTACTTTTATATCAACCCATAAAAAGCTGAATTAAATTCTTAAGCAAAAGTGAATAATCACAAGATGGTTTGTAAAGAAATTTATCACACATGGATTTAGCCATAAACAATTCAATTTAAGAATTAAAATTACTACTCATTTATAAAATTTTAAAGTTTATTTCCAAAGTGCGTGTGGGGTTGCAGAAACGAGAAGAAGATAAATAAGAGATATAGTAACTAAATTACCTGTTTATTCTTCTCACACAGATCTTTCAGTAAAGCATCCAGTTCATTTTCATCTATGTATCCATTGCCATCCTAGGGGAAGAGAAACAATCAGTACACAACAAACTCCATCCACAGTAGTAGGGAATGAAGTAAAATGGAAACAGTGGAATGCTCAGAAAATCTCCTGTGGGTGTTGGCAGATGTTCTAACCTGTTACACCAGAGCTTCAACACTTCTAGCTGCTTCAAAGTTGCAAAACAGGTCAGTCGACAACACCTTACATTTGTAAGGTAATTTGAGCTTTTCAAAGTACTTTCACATTTAATTTTCACTCTATTAACAATATTATCTCCAATTGGAGTAAGTAGTCTTATGTATTCCTGTGACAAGTGGTAACACTGAGGCCTGAAGGAGCTCATGAGACTTGGCCTGATTTCAGGAGAGATGACAGTTTTATTAGATAGAGCCCAAGTCCAGGAGCAATTGGAAGAAGAAACCAAAGACACGAACTACTGGCATCATTGACTTTCCTTACACACACAGTTTGCCATGTGGGAGGCTTCTTCAGAACATCTTACTTACCCTAGCTTATTTTCATTCACGTTGCAAGTGAATATTATCTCTTGTTTACAAATGAAGAAATTGACTCTCAGATTTTGGTCCCTTGTTCAAAGCCTCACAGCAGATAAATTATAGTACAGTATTGGAGACAAGGTGTGTACAATGAGGATATAACATAATACAATTCCCATGAAAATAATTCATTGGTTGTATAATTTTAATAGCCGATGTTTCTTTATTTTTAAAAGTTTTTATCAGTACATGTTTGCAGTATGTAATGTTTATATTCTTTGTGTGGAGTTGGTACATGTACATAATACCTCTTAATTCCTGTTTTATTTTCATGTTTTTTTAAAAATATGAACTATGTTTTTATTTTCCCTTATTGAGTATTTTTCAGAATTTCAAGGATCAAATTTTAGATAAGCAAAACATGTAAGGCATTCAAACAGAAATGGAACACATAAAAGTTGTCTCTCTTTGTAGGTAATATGATTTTTAATTTATAAAATATATAAAGATTCTAGAAAAAAACAAGTTCAGTAGTTACTGAATATGAAAATCAACATCCAAAATTAATCTTTCTATATGCTAACAACAAATTACCTAAAAAGGATTAGAAAATCCCATTTACAATAGTATAAAAAGAATAAAACGTGAAAAACATCTATAATTCAGTAGCCAAAAAATCCTAATAATCATTTTAAAGATTTGACTATTTCTTCAAAGAAGCTGTAAAAATGGCCAACCACTACAAGAAAAGATGCTCAATGTCACTGATAACCTGTGAAATGCAAATTGAAACCACAATGAGACACCACAACACACCTGTTCGAATGGCAAGCAAAAGAAAACGTGCGCTGGTGAGAAGTGAAGAAGTGGGAACCTTTGTGCAGTAAGTGAGAATGGAAAATGAATCATCTACCATGTAAAACAGCATGAAGATGCCTCAAAAAGTTAGAATAGTTAAGAATAGAACTATTATAGGATTCAGTAATTCAAGTCCGGGGTATTTATCCAAAAGATCAAGATCTCTAAGAGATATTACCACTACATGATCATTGCTATGTTATTCACAACAGCTAATTTGGAAATCACCTAAATGCTCATTGATGGATAAGTGGATCCATCTATCTATCTATCTATCTATCTATCTATCTATCTATCTATCTACCTACCTACCTACCTACCTACCATCTATTGCTATCATCTATCTACATAAGTGTGTATAACAGAATATTATTTAACCTTAAAAAAGAAATCTTGAAATATATATCAAGACAAATGAACCTTGAGGACATTCTGCTAAATGAAATAAGTCAGTCACAGAAGGATAAATACTGCACATAGTTATAGGATGTATTCAAATTAGTCAAACTCATTGAGACAGAGAAGAGATTGTTTTTTTATTTCAGGGTTTGGGAAGGGCAAATGAAGAGCTCCTAATGAAAGGGCATAAATGTTCAATTATGTGAGATAAATAAGTTTTAAAGATCTGCTATGCAGCATTGTTTGGTGAACAATATTATATCTTACACTTTTAAAATTCAGAGGGTAGGTGTTTTTACCATAACAAAAATGAAAGAAAAAAGACCAAACTTTTACCTGATCATATAACTCAAATGCCTTATTGAATTCTTTCCCACACATTTTAATTCCCTAAAAGACAAAGAAAAGAGCAAAAGTTAAAATGCTACTACTATATTTAGTTTATTTTTCTACCCAAATCTCCCACATTCTAAGTTTTCAAAGAAAATATTTAAAGTGGAGAAAAAGTCAAGTACCTGAAATTTTAGAAGAAAATTCTCTTGCACTGGTAGTAACCTTTGAAGAGAAAAACATGTTAATAGATTTGGTTTTGGGATGAGGGCCAGCTTACTTTAATAATATTACCATAGTTCCTAACTCACCTAGCCATCTCAGTCAGTTCCAGCTTTCCATCATTATTTGAGTCAAACAGCTTCAGCTAAAAAATAAAATTTTGGTTTTTTTTGTTTCCAAGAATATAAACAAAATATTAGCTATTGCAGAATAATTTAATGAATAAATACAAACATTCAATATCAAGCAGCTTGTTATCAAATTCTTAAATATACAGTGAAATTTTAGATACTAACACGTTTTAAAACTTTCAAAGTATACTTTCAATTTTGTAATGTATCAATTGACAAAGTTCACCAGTCCAATATGGAGCAGTGAAAAAGAGTAACAGTGGTCTTAACTAAGGCTTCCAGAATACTATAACTCATTTTTCTTGCAAATATTTTGAATGTGTATCAACATGTGGGAGGGATGGTGACTCCAGGATGCAACACGCCCAAACTTCTCCAGATGATGGTGTGAGAACAAACATTTGCCTCTTTAGAGCACAAAATAGTGCAAAGAAAAGCACTAGGCAGGTAACATGAATAAGTCCTTAAAGAATAAAATTTCGGAGCGAATTTGAATTGTTTTACCTTCCATTGGGAAGTAGATAGTAAAGCTCCTAGCTCTCTACTGTAGATGTCTCATACATTGAGATACGTCCAACTATAAACATGTTTGTACCCATATTTGTGAAATAGTCACACTTTTAAAGAGCAACTATTGCCATAGGATAAAAAAGCAGTATATATGAAATACATTAAAATGTATGAAATATGTAAAAAAGTAGCATTACTTTTGCCTTAGAAGAAAGGAATGTGCTGAGGTAAGAATGAATATAGGTTTAATGAGGTCTTTTTAAAGAGGAAAGGAAGGATATTCTGTGGCCTTAGATTCTAAGAATTCTTTGTAGGAAGCAGATTTTTTCAGGGTCCTATACTGAAATCACTTTTTGTCCATTGATCATATATTCTAATATTGTAATACTGTCTGCTAAGACACTGAACAACTAGATCACAGTTTAGTGCCCACAGGGAAATATTTCCTCACTTATATATTTAAATTTTAATTAGCTCTCAATTAATTTGCTTCCTGTATTTGAACTGGTTTATGGCATTTAATCAGATATGCCAGGCCAATTCAACAGGGGAAAACTCCCATCTGAGTAGTTTTTGAAAGGCTGCTTCATAGATATACCTTTAGATAAAATTGATAAGTTTATGTTATTTTCTATTCGCTCCCTCAAAAAAGTAACCAAGCAAAGTTTCAGAACTTAGACCTGCCCACGGTGACACACAGCAAGAAAGTCTCCCATTTATTTGTGAATGCTATTGTAAGTAGAAATGTAATGAGGAATTAAAGAGGAACATGAAAAAATCTTTTTGGTTTTCTTAAAAATAAAATTAGTCCCACTTTATAATAAATATCGCTGTTTGATGAATAAGCCAATAATAAATCTAGAGTTTTGTTTTTGTTTTTCCACACAAAGTAGGCCAGGAGGCCTAAAGTAAATGTTAGCTACATTAAATGCAATTGAACTCTGTAAAGATTGTTTCTCAAGGTAACTAAAAGTCTAATTTCTTCAGCAATCTAATGCAATGCAGTAACTTTTATAACATACAGCTAGACTGTATGGGTTATTTATCTAAATCATAGATAAGAATTCACAGTGCTTTAATATTAGTTAGATCATATATAAATCTCTATATCTACTGGAGTTAAAATGAGCAAACTTCACCTATTTAGAATAAAGTAACTTCATGGACAATGGTTTATTTTGTCTAGAACCTCATAAATTTATTTGCTCATTTGTCCTTAAAACAGTAGGAGCTTGTGTGTAAAGGCATTTTCCTGACTGTGTGATGTGCATTCTACGATAGAGCTTGGATACAATATTTGCCAAAGTGTCAGGGTCAGAGTATGTTTGGATTTTCTCACCCATAGCGCCAATATAATATCTTACAGTAACAGAAACTCAAAGGAAAAGAGAACCATTTAAAATGGCTTAATGACTAAAGTAGCTAGAAGTTCTCTTTAAACTCTAAAAAAGTCTATGATACACAAAGCTGTGATAAAAATGAATTTAGAATTTCTATGTAAGTGAATTTGAGGTGACATAATCTATAATTTACATATAAAATGTAATGTACAGTCATAAGACCTATGAGAGGTAAAAATCACGTAGCGTTGCAGGAAAGGAAATGGTCATCAGTTGAGCCTTAAAGCCAATGTCTGATAAAGTGAGCATTCTTGAGTATTTCAGCTTTCAAATGAAATGATAGCTTGTGCCCACATGGTTTAGTTCATCCTGTGTAGCCTCGAGAATAAGCAAGAAAACAGTTCTATTTTGTGAGCTCTTGGCTATTATCTTTTCAAGATCAGTCTTACCATTAGGTCTGTATACTCAGCTAGCTTTGTGTCATCAACAGTCTTGTTTGCTTTTTCTAGCAGGTCCTTCAGAAAGTTCTGTTAAGACAAAGAACACTCATAAATGTCAGCAGTGATGTCTGCTTCCATTTCAGATGCCTTGAAACAGAACGTACCAGAAATGCACAGAAAGCCTCTTTTAGAGGGTAGGGCTAGCTCCTTTCCACAGAGGACCTTAGCAATAAGACTAAACCATGTTCTCGTAACTTTCCAGTAAAAAAGCTGCTTTTGACATATGCAATATCTGCTTTTTACTGAGACACAGTCGGTAGCAGTCTGTGCTATATTATGCTTTTACAACTTCAATTAAAGAAGGATCTGGACTTTGTACTGTATAGGAATCTGAATTCAAACTTTAAAAATCAGCCAATTCAATGGATGTTTTTCTACCAAAAGCATTTCTGTAAGAAATATAAGGGCCTGTCTCTAAACCTCTGCACTGTGTGATGGAACTCTAACTAATTCTAAATACATTTTGTTCTCTCCTGTGCTGTATTTACACACAGTATGAAGCCTGTTTCTCCTGAGGAGCAGCTGGTTAGCTTCTACTTGTGACACAGTCCAAAGAATCCCTGGTTTCATGCTTCAGTTGACCATACAAATTCAAACAGTTGATCACATCTAACCCATGAAGACACACGAATGACACTGAAATAGAGATTAATGTGGGAAGAGTGAAAAAAGATGATTATTAACTCAACAGTTGGAATTAAGGAGTGAGTTTATCTTTTTCTTTTTTTTAACAGAGAAATAAATAAAATAAAAGCTTTTCAAATCTTGCCATATAAACGACAGTGTAGTACTTCAGCATAAGTCTCTCATTTTGTCCAGTGCTATTCATTCACCACTCTTTTAAATTTTCTCAGAAAATGAATTAATGCACTTATGGAAACCACACAGTTATTATAGAAGCATTGGGTTTCTTTGGTTCAGTAGTGGTTTATCTTCTTTCCCAAAGTACCAATTTGGCTGGACTGATTTGATTTCACTTTTCTCAAGGAAAGAGACCTTTCTTTGGTTTGATACGTTTATTTTCACTTCAAACATTCTGCTTCCAAATGAGGAAGTGAAGTATGGAGAATTCAAAGTTATGTGGTGGGGTGAATTTTAGTTTTGAGCCTTTTGAGACTCAATCTTTTGTCAGAGATTAATTGGGTTAAAAAGCCTCATCAGAGACTAAAATGGTGGTCATAAAAATAGCCTAGGAGAAACCTTGGGACACTAAAATTCAAAGTCATGTCTGAGAGCAAGAGATGCTGTACTCTATTATGGATCTTAAAATTAGCTTCCTTGAAAGATCTATTAAAAAAGAATGCTAAGTTATCTTCAAAAATTCCCCAGGGAGGAAGACTTCTATTTAGAACTCTTTCTGAGAATAAAATTTAGAACAAAGAAGAAGGCTTTTAAAATGTTTTGAGGTCAGTGTTGGAAATGAGCTAAAGTTTCTTTCTGAACTGAGAGAATTTTTAAAAGAATTGTTTGGCCTAAAAGAATAAAAACACAATAGCTCCACCGTCACCTTATGGGCTGTAGTTGCAAAGCTGTATGTGTGTAAAAGACGTGGTTGCCAGTAACTTCACACTAAAAATGTTTACATTTTCTAGAGGTGGCAGTTGAATATGGTTCACCAATTCTGCAACTGTGCAAATGTCCCAGTTCCACCTCTAAAAATGTGCATTCCTGCAACCATGTTGAGCCATGATCAGGAAAACAGTTTAATACTCATATTCAGGGGCAGAAGTAGTTCTCAGTGAACAAACCTGGAAGGTATGTGGGCTGTAGGGGAAAAGTATTAACATTATTAGATATGCTGGACCCAAACTTAGCACCTGTGTAATCTTGAAAAATTATCCAGTTGCTCTGAACTTGAATCTCCTTATACACTGGAAATGATAATAACTGTCTTACAAATTTTCTGGGGCGGGATTAAATGTTAAAATAAGATTTAAGCACATATGGGTACATATCCAGGTGATCAATAAATATTAGCTGCTTCCCTTTTACTTAATTATAAGGTCAAATTGGGTCATTCAGACTGAGTTTTGAGGAAATGAGACAAAAGATACATTTCTGAAAGGCTCCTAAATTGAATTCATGTTTAATCTGATAAGTAAGATTTCTCCAGTGCAAATCTCACTTGCGTTTCCCGATACATTTGAGAAGAAGGTATCATTACTCCCATTTTCAAGATGGAAAACATTAGATAGACTGATGTAGACATTTGCCCTGAGGTAACTTTGATTTTGAATCAAATCACCTCTGAAGTACCCATGTGAGAAACGAATTTATGAGGTAATTTTCAAAGTTGCAGTTCATCAAAAATTTAATTAATTTTGGATTTTGTAAATATTATTGCTGTCAAAAAGCTGTAGGTTTTAAGGCATGCTTATGGGTTTTGGGGGTGGACAAAGTCTGATCTTAAACATTGCAGCCCTGCGTCTTATTTCCATTTGACCTTCGGTGGATCATTTAACTCCTCTCTATCCTTTTATCATCAAGTAATACTAATTTTATTGAACCCATGCAAACATTAAATAAGATCATGTACATGAAGTGTCTGGCACAAAATCCCATAATTTGTCTTTCTTTTGGAAATGAAGTCTATTACATAAGTACTTAATTTATAAAATGAAATTTCAAATTTCAGTGGAAAAGTGTGACTTACTTGGCTTATGTATAGTTCTCTCATCTACCTACTTTTATAACAATTTATGTACACCACAAAAATGCTAATTCCTCAAATTGCTGAACAGAATTGCAAGAAAGAACTTGAAATCTCTTTCTCGATCCAGTATTTCATTAAGCATGTGGAAAAATGGGTAAAATGTGCCTTTGCTCCACACCAGTTTCTTTTGTGGGAAGTTTTTAAAGAAAACTAGGAAGCCCTTAGCAGTTCAGAATTGCATTGTAAAGGAAAAAACTTAATGTAAGTTTTTATTTGCTTACCTTAAGTTCTTCAGTTTCTATGAAGCCACTGTGATCGGTATCATATTTTCTCCATGTCTGTAAAATTTAGGTAAGAAAAACCAAATTAAAAGACAAAGCCAGCAATTCTGATTTCTTCAATGTTGCCTAAAGAGACAGGTTTCTTCTACCTTCATGAATTCCTCACAGGACTTCAGTTGCTGGCATCGGAAGAGCAGCAGGAAATTCTCTTCTGTGGGTAATACATGAGCCAACTGGAAAAGATAAAAAAAGAGAGAAACCATGTGGTTGACAACAAGTCTCTGCCATCACCTGCTGCTTAGTTTTGCTCCAACATGTTCCCTAGGAGCAGTTTATTGCCTAAAAAAGAAGGAGAGGAAAAACATCACTTGACTTTCCCTTCCTGGTACTTTGCTCTGATGGGTTGCTGTGGTTCTTCCAATACTCCTGTGCCCTTGAGTGCTTTTCTCTGTGCTCAGTGAGATGGGGCAGCAGGGCCACTTCTTGTCTGCTGTACATACAAGCAGATTCTCTCTGCTTGCTTGAACTCTTCTTGTATTCCGTGCCTGAGAGGTCTTGTTACTTTCAGAGTGTACAGAACAGCACACGGAGGGACCACAAACTTTATGTGAAACAAAACTGAGAAATATGAATGTAGAGAAAAGGAAGGAAAAAATTGTATTTCTAAAATTCAAAACACCTCCTATGAGATGCAAGGGAAGATAAACCAAAGAAAATGGAAAAATAGTAAAAAGAATGTCAGAAAGACAATTCCCAATGAACAGTGAGAAACTGAACAGTAATAGCAAAGTTAGTTCTCACATTATTGTTTTCGGCTAAAAAGACACGGCTGGAATCCATGGCTTGGGTTAATTTTTGATCTTCATTGTGTGACTTTATGACATTTCCTCTTAGGTCTCATTTCATGATTTCAGTACTTTTTTTGGAAGAAAAAAAGAGCTCCAGATCCCATTTTAAGACTAATATAATCTATCTATTGCATGCAGAGGAGGAGGGAGTTGGATTGATGGCCTCACAGCAGATGTGAGTTCTATTTCTGGCTCAGTTGCTAATGAACTGTGGTCCCCAGCAACTCCCTCAGCCATTTCTGGACCTCAATATCCTCATCATTAAAATAAGGAGTTGAAGGCAAAATCAATGTCTCTTAAATGTACTGGGTTCAAATCATCTTCTGTTGGAATCACTGTATCTTCACCATTAAAAAGCTAAAAATGTAAATAAGGATCAAATGTATAATTGATATTGCTAAACAGGAAGAAAAGGTCTAAAAGAGTAAGGGAAGTGGGAGGGGTAGGGGAAAGGTAAGAAGGCAAAAGAAAAAATATGAGAAAAGGAAAAACATGGAAACAATATTTTTGTAAATAGGGAAGTGTAGAGGGGGTTAGGGGCTAGAGAATGGGAAAAAAAATAAGAACCAAGTTACATCATGAAAAGGTGCAAGATCCAATGTATTGTACACCTAAAATGTACCAACAAATTTTAAAAACAAAATGAGCCTCTACACCCTGTACGTAATCAACTTTCCAGAAGTGGAGGAATTCCCCCAAACACAGAGATACAGACCCTCGTCCCTGGAATTTAGGCCAAGAACCTGCAGTCTAGATTAACTTTAAGCTCAGTGTACATCCTAAATTTCCACAGAATTATAGGAAAGGGTTACATATATTTTCTTTTCTTTTTTTTTTTAAACTTGCATCCTTTTAGGTCTACTAAAAATTTAAAATTTAATTTTTTTCAGCTTTAATTGAGTTTATTGGTACATTTTAGGGATACAGTACAGTTACATTCATTGTTGGGATCTTGTACCTCTACGTATCATTTTACCTTCTGTGCAAGCAATTTCATTTTCCTCATATCTATGTAATCTGTTCTTTACCTTGTTTTGAGACTTTGAAATAACATCTGAAATTAAAGCTGTTGAGATTATAGGATTTACACATGGGGATGAAACCAAGGAAAAGGCTCAAATAATTTCTTAGGATGTTTAGTGTGATCCAGTCAGAAAACATCTCATTTTGAAGTAAAGGCCAATACTGTGGGTAGATGATAATATATCCAGAAGGTAGAAATAGGAGATTATTATCAGTAATTTAAAAAAATATAACCAACTTTTCATTCATAAACCCATATATCAACACAGTGTATGTGATCTATATCTCTTACTAAATTCAGGCCTCTTTTGTGATCTTTGATTTCTTTAAACTGTTGAATCATAAAATTCTGTACCTCAGAAACAATTTAATTCAAAATCCAAATTTTTGAATTGAGGATGCTCGAAGATTGAATGACTTAATCTGGTGATTGGCTGACTTTGAAAATCACTTTTATTTGATAATTCTTAGTAAATTAAGTAAGCAAAAAGCCTTTTGAAGCAATAGAACCGAGTGGTTGCTCCTTCAGTCTTGGAATTAAAAAAGTGCATTTGTTGGTGATTTTTATATATGACAAGATAATTTGGATATGGGCTATATTTCCAGACACTGAAAACACCATCTTCCTGATCAAGTCCACCTTTTTCCTCAAAGGTGGGATGCTAGGTGAAAAGTAGATACAAATGATTTTTATTATTAATGTAGCCAGATATAAGTGAAGCCCAAAGAGTACGTCTTCACCAAAGGCAAGGGCAGTGAGGCAGATGGAGTGAGAGTGGCAGGGGTGGGCTGGGCGCGGAGAGGCCTGCGGAGGACGGAGACACCAGCATGTCCCTGAAGTCTTGTGCAGCCCTCACTAGCCTGTAATAATACTTTCCTGAAGGTGTTTTAAATAAACTTCTTTTAAGACTTTCAAGAAGTGCAGAGGGAAGAAAGAATAATACAGTAAAGAGGAGAGACCAAAAGAGAAGAAAATAAGAAGTGTAAGTCTCAAAGAGGGAGGAAATATGTCAGAGAGGAAATATGTCAGAGGCAGACATTTTGAGGAACAAGCTGACCAACTGAGCTAGTTGGTAAATGTATGCTTTCAAAAGTTCTGTGTGACGCTGGGTGTCTACCATGTTATTTCATGGTTTTGATAAGCAAAAGTGTTCATTGGAAAACAGGAAGTAACTAATACCAACTTTTTCTTCCTTCCTTTACTTAGTGGTACAAGGGATTAAATCAGAGCCTTCCAGCTATTAGGCTACCACTGAGCTCTACCACTGAATTACATCCCCAGAGCTTTTTACTGCTATTTTTTTTTTGTACTGGGAATCAAACTCAGGACCTTGTGCTTGCCAGGCAGGCATGGTGCCACGGAGCTAAATCCCTGGCCTTACTTTTTATTTTGAAGTAGGATCTCAATAAATTGCCAAGGCTGGCCTCAAACTTCTAATCCTCTTGACTCAGCCTCCCAATAAGCTGAGTTTCCTCCTTTGTTGGTATGTAACTTTTTAAGTTTTTAGTGGACTTCTTCCAGGACAGTAATGGTGAATCTTTTAGAGACTGAGTGCCCAGACCATAACCCCAAACCCACTTATTTATCACAAAGGCCAACTCTACAATTAAACTTGAATATCTGATGCTTGGCTGCTGGGGTAATTTGTCCTTGTGCAGATAGAGAAGGCTCTGCATGCTCACTGCAGCACAAGTGCTGTCGGTTCCTCACCACTATCCCGGCCGTGTATTCCAGTCTGCAACCTCTGATCAACCACCCAGTGAAAATATGTGTTTGTGGATTGGTGAATATCTTTTCTTCATTAAACATCCTTCTTAGTATGACTTAACATGATAGTGAGTATTTTTATGATCTTTGCTGTAACTTTCTATATTGCTAGAATTTATATAATTAATACCTTACCCTGAACAAAAACGATGTTTTTTTCTTTAAAAATTATACTTGTCCAAATGCACCAAATATATAAAAACAGAAAAATAGTAAAGTAGTCAGTAATGAATAGATGTAAAGTTAGGGAAATTTAACCATCACTAATTCATAAATCAAAGTTTGCATAACTCTCATGCAATTCCGAGATCTCTGGAATGTCAGATATAGAGTGGGTCAAATTGTTCTTCATGTCTAGAGTAAATGCATATTCCTTTTGTCTATGCTGTTTTGGTATTGCTTTTAATTATTAAAAATAGTGACTGCATCTATATGCAATATATTTGTTCTGTTTTAGTATCATTAAACTGTTCTTATTATATTCAACATATACACTATCCTATTTTACAAACATTAGAAATGAGTCTTAAACTTTAAAAATATTATTATAAGAAAACTAGCAATTAAAGGAAAGCCATGAATCTGTATGAATAGGGTACAGCTATAGGGAAATAGAAGAAATCCTGTTTTAAGATGCATTTCAGTGTGGTGGTCTTGTGTTGTCTTTTGGTCCTACTGTTAATACATACCAATCCCTCTTCAAATTTGCTATCTAGGTACAGTCATTCTCCAGCTGTAGGTGTAAGTTCATGACTCCAAAATGCTGAAGTTCCCTTACAGATGAGGTTAAATAGAGCTACTTTATTCTCAGTCGTGACTATCCAGAGAAATACCAAGTACTGTGGTTCTAAGATTTTTGGTTACTTCTTATGAATTCTCTTTTATGAACTCCCAAAATTTTATGGGTTTCAAGAGGGTAGGGAATATCAAAGAGGTGAGTGGAAAGTAGATAGCTGTGGCCACAAACAGAATCCCTTAGGTCACTTCAAAGAATTGACTGAGAATGAGGAAGCATATTTTCTTTCTACTTGCCTCTCTCCTTGAGAATAAAGCTCATGTTTTGCTGATTTGTTTGCCCAACAACTGCACAAACTCCAGTACATATTTTATTGACTGAAATGAATAAAAATACGATTTGTCTAGAGTCATCATAGACTGTAAATAAGTGACAGTAAAGCTCCATTGGATATAATTCAAACACCTTCTTACTGGGCTGTGGGTAAGGGGTTGAGTGAACACTGTGATGTGCTACCCAGAGCTCTCTACAGATTCTGGAGTGTTGTTGAGGTCTCAGTTCCCAGAGTCCTCAGTTGAGGGAGTGTATGTGTTTCCCAGGAAGCTGCAGCTTGTGACTAATCCACGTGGGAATATAGAGGCCCAACCTACTCACTGAGAAACCTCTGAAAGGCCAGCCAGCTTCAGAGCTCACTGGAGGGTCAGCTGAAATCTTTGTTGAGTCATAGCCTCGCATCTTCTTTTGCTCGAGTCTTATTCTCCTTACTCCCCTTCCATAGGGAGCGTGCTAATAGTCCTCCTAAGTGCTATGCTGCCACTCGAATCTGCCTCCCGTGGAACTCCACCTTAACAGGGTTTC